TTAGAGATGAGAGAGAGAGAGAGAGAGAGGAGAGAGAGCGACGAGAGAGAGAAAGAAAAGAAGAAAAAGAGAGAGAGAAAGAGAAAGAGAAAGAGGTGAGGCGAATACCTGCCGTGACCCGTACCCTCAATACATCCGAAGGAAGGGACTCGCTCCGAAACAAACAAAAACAGCACATTACCTCCGGGTCTCTTGGCCTGCTCCGCCGTGATGGTACACCGATCCCGTTGAGATTCCGGGCATTAACAGCATGCAAATGACGTGATTTAATTTTGGGAAGAGGGTACGACTTCATCTCCGGTGGGTCGTTGCGTCTGTGCTCGCGTGGTCGTCTGGGGATGAGGTTCGTGGGGTCGACACCTCTCTCTCCTCTCTCTTTTTCTTTTCCTTTTTTGGTCTCTCGTTGTTTGTCGTTCACTCTTTTTTTTTTCTTGTCTGGGGTATCCTGGACTTTTTATCCCTCCCTTTGACTCTCTGTCTGCTTTTCTCTCTCTCTCTCTCTCTCCGTCTCTCTCTCCTCTCTCTCTCTCTCTCTCTCTCTCTCTCTCTACTCTCTCTCTCTCTCTCTCTCTCTCTCTTCCACATCCCTTTCCGTACCCTCCCCCTCTCATTCTGCCTTACAAAACGATCTTGTTGAATGAGCACCCCAATATAAGATACGACTTTCATAACGACCCCGTGAAATACTTCTCAGATTGTTGTCCCCCTTCAAGGTGACTTGGGAGAGTAAGTAATATCCAAGAACACGACCAGGCGAGACGTGGAAGAATGCCGGGGGGGGGGGGGGGATGGTGAAGCGGGAGGGTGGGGGGGCTGTGAGAAGGAGGGGGTTAAGGGGGGGGGTAATGAAGGCGGGGGGAGTGGAAGAGGGTGAATCAGGAGGGGTGGGGTGGAGGTAGGGGGCTGTGAGAGAAAGGGGGTTAAGGGGGGGGGTAATGAAGTGGGGGAAGCGGGAGAGAGGAGGGTTACGAGAGGGAAGGGAAGGGGGTGGGCTTAGAGACGAGGAGAGAAACGAGGATGATGGAGAAAGAGAGGGGGGGGGAGGGGGGAGGAGGAGGAGGTAGAGGGGGTTAATGAAGCGGGGAAGCGGGAGGGGTGGGGGACTACGAGTGGATGGGGGAGTAGAGGGGTTAGTGAAACAGGGAAGAACAATAGACTAAGGGTTAAAGAAGCAGGGAAATAAGGGGGGGAGGGGGCTTCTAGTGTTGAAGGGGCAGAGGGGGTTATTGAAGCGAGGGGGGGGGGGAGGCTTCGAGGGGGTTTAGGGACTGAGGGGAACTGCGAGAGGATGAAGAGGGGAAGTATACGACGGGTGTGGAGATGACGTGAAGGAGGGGATACTTACTATGATTATGATTTATTATTGTCTTATCTATTTTATTCATTTACTTATTTATCATCATTTATCTGTTTATCTTTTTTTATATCACTTTTTATTTATCATCATTCTTTTTTTTTTGAAGGGGAGATGGAGAAGGCTGAGGTAGGGATAAGGGGGGGACGGGGAGACGGATCAGAAAGGGAGGGGAAGGGGCTTCATGAAAAAGGGAAAGGGAGGGGAAGAACGCAAGGGGGAAGGGGACAGGGGGCAGAACAGGAGGTACAGGGACGGGGGATTATTGAGAAGGGGGGGGGAGTGCAGGGAAGGGGGGAGAGGAGCGGAGGGAGGGGGCCTGCCGTCGCTATTTATATACACTGTATGCTAGCTGTGTGGGACACTGGCGAAACCTGTCAGAACGAGGGAGAAAAGATTTATAACATATTTCACCAACTTTCGCCCTTACGTAAACCTTCCCTTGAATGATAGGGAATGAATGAAAACAAAACAAAAAAAATTAAGAGCACTACATTCCTTCCTTAATTAAAACGAAGATGCTTTCTTAATTAAAATGAAGACCGCGTGTCATTCTACCTTTCCGAATTATTCTTGAGTCCTCGTCAAAAAAAAAAAAAAAAAAAAAAAAAAAAAAAAAATCTGACACATATTCAAGCCGAGTTGCCAACGATGTTAGTACTTTTTGTCAGCGTGTTGTTCATTAAAGGGATTTGCTGAAGAAAAACAAATTTTAATGTAAGCGTGGAGCACCAAATATAGTTTTGCTCTTAGATTGTATGTATTATGAATGTCAAAGTTGTTATTACGTTTACAGTATTTTGTACCTAGCTTTTACGGAGCAATTATGTTGGCAGTTACCAGCATTTCATCCTTACGATGGCATTACTACCATCGTCGCTGTTACTGTTACTTGTTTCATTAGCAACGGTAACGTGAGCATTAACAATGTATAGTTTCATGGTGGAGTTTCGTGCTCTTTGTGCTAAAGATTTAACATGCCAAATTTTGCAACTTTTTACGTTTTTAATCTTAGTTCTATCCACCATCTTTTTTCCCCATTTATTTATGAAGTTGATTTTTTTTTCTTATGATGTTCATCATTCTCATGACAACTTAAATAGAGGTCGAAGATGGACCAGTTACCGTAGGAAAGAATTATAATAAACATTATCTTGCTTGAATTTTCATATGGACTTTCGGATGGTTATGATTTATCATCAGTGTGCAGATATTCTAAAAAAATGCTCATACGCAAAACGAAATAAACGGATGAATAGTTATATCAACATTTAGTAATATATGCAAGGAAATAACTAAATACACGAACACACGAGTATAAGTACATCAATAAAAGACTTCAAAAAAGAAAGAAAGAAAGAAAGAAACTCAGTTGTGTGCCTTAACCACCGATGGGACAGTTAGGGCCTCCCCAGGTAACATACGACCTTCGACATGCGGAACGGTCTGCAGTTAAATGAATACATGGAACGGTGACCAAGTGCAACACAGCTCGCACGCGGCCATTCACATAACAGAAACTTTTGAGGATACAGACCAACTTCAGCACACACGCGACCTCACATAGTCACACAGGCATACAGACGCAAACTATGTGAAGTACAAACAATTATGAACTAAAACACGCAGATACACTGCAGCAGGCAAACATCCTCACAAAGGCTATTCACACATAAAAACAATCCCAAACACACACCCAAACACAATACGTACACACACATCGATTCAAGTCAAACGCAGCACACACATGCCGTGCCCTAAAACCATACACATACAGACACAAACCATGCTAAGCACACAAAAGCCTTTCGCTTAAATGCCTTCAGCCTGATAATTCTTCGTGAAAGTGCCACTGTTGGCTCACTTTGATGCTAGACTGGTAGACATTGCCGATCTGAGTTACGTTCAATAAAGTGGAGGTTTGTTGACGTTTATGTTTCTCAAAGTATCGATTACGTGCTGCATGGGATTGCTGAGGGATTATCGTACGAGATTGAAATATTCTGATGCTTCGTGTCCGTTTTATTGAAATGAGAACGCCTTGCTGTTAAGATGACATGATTTTCGGATATAAAAGTTGGAATCCACTCTAGTTTTTTTCTATGTATGATTTTTCATATCATTATATGTGTATTGTATATCAGTACTATTTGTTTTCCTGCTAGGCTTGTTCATTAGCAGAAAGCACGATTTTGCAAAATTTATTGGGAAATAAATTGAGACAATCTTACGCTCGCTTTGAATATCTGCATGCTGGTGAATAGCTTTAAGTAAACATGGCGATTCTTAAAGTTTCTTGGACAGAAAGAAATAGCCAGAGAACACGCACATATATCTGTGTGTGTATATATACCAGGAGAATATTTCTTGCTAGATGTTCATTACCTGAACACACACACACACACACACACACACACACACACACACACACACACACACACACACACACACACACACACACACACACACACACACACACACACACCACACACAACACACACACACACAACACATAAACACACACACACACACACACGTGTGTGTGTGTGTGACAGAGAGTGTGTGTGTGAATGTGTGTGTGTGTGTCAGTGTATGTGCGAATGTGTGTGTTTGTGAGCGTGCGTGTTTGTGTACGTATGCTTATTCATACATGTACAGAGGGTATGAAAGAAATATAAACATAGAAAATGTGGTTGTTTGTTTACAGAAACCGGGAAGGGTAAAAGATAATTAAGGGCGGACCCAAACATTGATAAGGATAGGAAAATTGTTTGGGTACCAATTAAGAGTAAAGCTGTACACCCACTAAAAGAGAAACACAGAGAGAGAGGAGGAGATACAGATAGAAGAGAGAGAGAGAGAGAGAGAGATGAGAGAGAGAGAGAGAGGAGAGAGAGAGAGAGAGAGAGAGAGAGAGAGAGAGAAGAGAGAGAGAGAGAGAGAGAGGGAGAGAGAGAGAGAGAGAGAGAGGAGAGAGAGAGAGAGAGAGAAGAAGAGAGAGAGAAGGAGAGAGAGAGGGAGAGAGATGGAGATGGAGAGATAAGGATAGAGATAGATAATATATAGAGAGAGAAGAGTTAGAATAGGGAGGGAGATATATATATATATATATAGTATATATATATATATATATACATATATATATATATATATATATATATATATATATATATATATATATATATATGCGTGTGTGTGTTGTGATGTGTGTGTGTGTGCTGTGTGTGTGTGTGTGTGTGTGGTGTGTATATATATATGCATATATATATATAGAGAGAGAGAGAGAGAGAGGAGGAGAGAGAGAGAAAAAAGAAACATATGACGAATGTGCAAAAAATAAATTCCTGATAGACAGAAATGAAAATAGTAGACAGATAATGAAGCAACGTCATTTCTTCACATACCTCATACATCATTATGTAAATTCCGTCCCCAAATGAATAATAACAATAACAATAAAAAAATAATAATAATACATGAAATGAAACGTAAATCCGAAACCAACATCCACTTAAACCCAGAAAAAAAGTCAACAAACCCGCAATCAAAAGCAAAAGAAACTTCCTCCTCGCATTCCTGGATGACAGAGCTGACGGCAGGGAGGGAAAAGGAGGGAAAAAATAATAGTTCGACCAGAAGCCAGGGAGGAAGAGAGGCAGTCAGTACGAGGGTTGTGCTGCTCGGGTTTACATCGGACGCCCCCGCCAAGGCTGTGAGTTCAGACGCACACACACGCACACACACACACCATCACTAATACGCGCATGTATACATGCTTAGGTACTTGCATTACGTACGTGCATGCATATATTTATATGTTCATACATACTTGCATATATTGAATGCATTACATGCATACATTCATTACTTACATGCATTCATCCATGCACATTACATAAATACATGCATACATACATACGGTATGTATGTTTAGATGCGTCCAATACATGCACATATTATATATATTTAAAACACATAATATTACAATATATGCTATAACTGCTTATATACATCGTTATACACAACATACATACATTCATACATACATACATACATAAGATAGGAGTATAAGCACATGTTCTATATTTACATAGAGATTCCATGTCTATCAGTTCATGTTTCTGCAGGAGGGACTTAGTCCACAGGATAATCTAGTTTTTGGTGAAATGAAACTAGGTCTTGAGGTTTTCGTTCGGAGGTGACAAAGGCTGTGGGCAAGAGACGGAGAGGCCTGACGTTTGAAAGCATTGAACATGTTCATTTCTTTTCTCTTTTTTCTCGTTTGCTTGTATGTTCTTTTATCCGTTAAGCTGACGAAGATCGTGATTGTGAGGCGCGAAAATGGGGGAAATATCCTTTAAGTACATGTGACACAACACACACGCACACACACACACACCACCACACACACACACAAACGAAACACACACCACACAGAGAAATTCATGTTCGAGTACTGCTAATCATCTTTTAATGTTTAATGGTGTGATATAAGGGTAAATGAAAAGTTACCAGTGAGTGAAACTGATGTGTGACTTCGAGGATGGTGAATGTGGTAATATCATTGCCTATTCTGTTGATATGAATACACATTTTCTTGCGATGGGCGAATGAGGAGCAAGAAGTATTGATAAAAACTGGCAATTGGAGGAAAACGGATAAGAGGCTGGTAAAAAAAAAATAGGAAGTAAGAACAATGGAGGGAAAGGTGAATGATGTAGAGAAGGGCAAGAGAGGCAGAGAGCGAGGAAGACGGAGCAAGGCAAAAGGGGGGGGGAATGACAATTCACTTTTGTTGTCCGGTTGTAACGCTATTGATGGAGGGTCATAACTTACAGGATAGCGCCCGAGGGAGAGAATCGGAATGGACCCGGGTGAAAACGCAGAAAAAAACCTATAAACAAGGGGAAGCGCGAGGTAATGTGATAATCTCCTGTTGTATAAGTAGTGTCGTGGCCAACACAGAAAGTAGATAACGGTACAAAAATAAGAGTGGAGGTAGTATACAAGAGAGGTCAAGAGCTGAATCGCATTGCTAGCTTGTAGTAGGAATATGGTGACGAAACAAAGATCTTGACGAAGGCGATGATAGGGATGAGAATAAGAGCGCAGTGGCACGGGGAATCGGACACGATATAATAGAAGTGATAGTGGCAATGGTGAGTGTGTTAGTGGGTTAGATATGGATGGAATAGATGTGGATAACCAGAAAATACACCGAGGAAATGGGATGGAAGTGATAGATGAGATCATTGAATGGATTAATTGGAAGATGAACATTAAGATAAATGATAATGACTAGTATTAAAAGTAAAGATATGATGAAATTGATAATGAAAGGCGAATAACCAATAAATAGTGACGGTCATGAATATGGGAATAAGATAATCTTGGTATTAATATATCGGTAACGGCAAATAATCCGGGCATAGTCGAGGGGAGTAAGAAGAGGAGGAGTAGGAGAAGAGGCAGAGGAGGAAGCCCGAGACGAAGAGGAGTGGGAGAAGAGGTAAGGATTGTAGTATAGAAAGAAGAAGGGACGGAAGAAAGGAAGATAACGGATAGATATTCCGAGGTACAACATATGGACGGCGCAATTTATGCTCTGGATGAACTAACACACAGAGGCAAGTGGTGGGGGTGTGTTTTCATTATTTAATTAGAGTATATGTAATAAGATTGGTACATATACATGTAATAATGTATCGTATACAAAAGGAAGGAGTTATATATACAGGTATATAGTATATTAAAGAGTAAGACGAGTATATATGTAAATATATAAGTTATAAAGGTATAACTATATAGTGCAGGTTATAAATATAATATAGAATAAGTGATGGAGGGTGTACGTTATAGAGGCGATCTATAGAGAGAAGAGATGTGCGAGGGCAGAGGATGGAAAGAAAGAGATAAGCTTGGTGTGGAGTGTGTTTCGGTGGTTGAGGAATTGTACGAATAAGAAGATAAAAGAAAAGAAAGAAGATCAAAAGGGGAATAAAGGAGTGGGACTGCGAGCAAGATGGGCTTTAAAAAAGAAGGAAGAACTGAGAGAAGCGCATAAATTAATAAGGAGGATAAAACGAATGAAGATTAAGAGAATAGAAGGAAAGTTCGAAGTGAAAAACTATTCTGAATTGAAGTTCTTTTGTCCAGCTATCATGATGATGATTGGTGTATGATAGAGATAAGTGAAGATAGAAGCATCCCAATGCATTGAATGATAATTAATATTATTTTTAACTCTATTTATGTATTTATTTGACTATTATTTTTCATCTGTATTGAATATGATAATGATATTTAGTTTTCATTATTTGAGGTTTCTTGACGATTTATTTCTTTGGTGCGATGTTGTTTGCTGTCATTGTTATTATTTATCATTAGATATATCGAGTACTAATATGGATATCGAAACATATGAAAAGGTTTGCACTGAAAAAAATGAAGGATTTCTCAAGGTGAGAGTGAGAAGGCAGATGCTCTTAAAATAGAGAAAAATAAGAGAGAAAAATCGACAATGGAAGCAGGTCGAGGTGATGGTGTGGTGGTTTGGTTCGTGGTGGTGTACGGTTAGGATATGCGCGAACGGTGAGAAATGTAGGAAGAGATAACAATCTGTCAGAAAATAATTGATAAATAAAACGTATAATAGAGATAGGAGAAAAAAGGGCTACTATATACTAGGAATTTATAATTAATAAAGGTACTAATATAATGATATAGTCGACATAACCTATATTATATTATATATTATGTGACAATAAATATAAATCAGTGACAAATATATTAATGGCCATTAATGCACAAAGATAGAGTTGAAACGTACAGAATTAAAAGTAGATCAAGAAACGAAAAAATGAAATAATAAAAGAAAGAGATATATACATAGAGATATACGGCCATATAGAGATATATTATATATATATATATATGGTATTAATAGAAGATATACAGTATTTAAGGATGTACAATGCACTATATTTTTTAATCTCACCTAGTATAGTAGGAAGATCTATTGCTTTCACCATATCCTGTATCTAAAACTGTTCGCTTCCTTAAACCCGTAGTCAGGCATATATAGTATATATAATAGTTAGAAATATAGTGATAAGTAGTATATAGAGAATGGAGGTATAAAAGAATAAATGACTGTGAACGAAGTCTTAGTTGTGATATGGTGATTAAGGTAGAAAGGAGGAAAAGAGAGGTATATAGATATTAGAAAATAGGATATTGGTGGGTGTGTGTGAGAGGTTAATGAGAATAAAGATTGATGTGAGATGGAGTATGGGGTGGTATTTTGTGGAGGCGATGTGGAGAATCGAATGAGAGCGAAGAGGGAGTCAGGCGGTGTGTGAGATATGAAGGGAATGAGAGAGGGAGCGAGAGGGTGATGTGTGTGTGTGTTTTTTGTGTTGAGTCGTGTGTGGTGGGGGGATGAGAGACGGTAGACGGAATGAGGTGAGAGGGTAGTGTGTGTGGAGGGATGGTGAGGCAGGGATGGATTGGTATTGTGGTGAGGTGCAGAGGGGTGAGCTAGGATGAGATGAATAGTAGTGATGATGGGTAAGTGATGGTCTGAGAGTCGGGGGCGTGTTGAAGTTAGGGCATGAGAGAGAGATGCGATGGGACGCACGATTGGTAGGTGTGATAGTGGGATGTGTGGATTCTGTGGTGTGTGGATGTGGGTACGGGTCTTGAGTGAGTGATGCGATATAGTATATGTAGAAATAATATATTATTTAGATTCATAGTACGATAAACCGCGATGAATGAAGATTAGAGATACTTAGACTTAGATTATCATATACATATACCATAAATATGTACTTAGCTAGATAGAGTAACTAATAACATAGTATATATTATACTAATACTATAATATCATTTTCTATCGATCGTACTCTACTTCCTGGGAAACATGTCTACATCGCCATCTCTCGGTGCTTCTCATCTTATCTTCTCTTTTTAATTTTCTCTGTCGGCTTTAGCTCAGAAAATATAATTTAAGCAAGGCTTTTTTCTCTAATTAAACTCAAACATACAAATTCTACACTGACACTAATCATACACTCACATCAACGACTCACCACATCAACACTCAATACACACACACACACACACACACACACAACTCACAACATCACCAGAAGGCACACCCACGTCACAACCCTATAGTAGGCTGACATTACATGATCAACAAATGAGAGAAAGAACCAATAGCGAACCACGTATAAGAGATCGATAAGCCATAATCGCCTTACTGAATAGTCGCTCGGTTGTTGAACCTATTAATGTATAGAGACCAAAAACATTTTTCCTCACCAACGCGCCAATCATGCATTCTAGACATAACCGTTATGTAATAATTACTAAACATACCACACTGTATACCCACGTCAACTTTCCCCAATAATTATAAATATTGATTTTATAACATGTTACCTTTAACCCTACACCTTGTCCCACTATTATTATGAGTGAATGATAATTGTTGTTATATATATTATATACTCGTATGTATATACTCTCCGATGTTCCATTTTCTTATTTAGTATCTTAAGTTTCTATTTACACTACTTACCACTCTTAAATCCCAGTTCTACTTATATAATTGTATAATTTTTATTATAATAATATATATTATAAGATATATATTATTATATAATATATTAATATTATAATATATGTTATATTTTCATTTTTTAT